CTCTAGTGTTCTTTGTCTTTCCCTTCTTAGGAACAGAGCTAGCCGTGGTAGGTCATTCCCCCCACCCCCCCACCAAGAGTATCCAAAATGGTATACTTATTAGAGAGGGGGACAACCACAGGGGATTCCTGCATTGGCTGCCTGCCCCTTCTAGCGGTCACCTATCTGCCTACACCTTGGGTGTCACCACATCTCTAAAACTACTGACTATGACGCTTTCCACCATCCTCATGCTCCTAAGTGCATCCAATTGCCGCTCCAACCTATCCATGCATTCTGTGAGGAGCTGCAATCGGATTCACTTCTTGCAGATGCAGTCATCCCAGACACTGGAAGCGTCGCGGATCTCCCATATCTCACAAGTGCAGAACTTAACCCCTCTAACTGACATTTCTATCCCCAATCAAGCTGTTTAAGAAAATTTATTAAACACTTAACCTTACTTATTGCTGCAAATACCAGAGGTCGGTCTTCCCTCACTCACCCTCCCAGGATGCTCCCTGGATCTCTCCCTTTCCCTTTGCTTCTGGTCCTCACAGTGGAGTGTGTGTGCTTTTTTTTTGGTTAGAGGAGGAAGTAGGGAGGGAAACACAGTGTTTGGGGTTGAACTGTCACTTGACAACAGGGAACTTATTTGGATTGTATACCCCTCACACTAAATAAAGCCTGGCTCAAGCAGCCTTCCTCACCTTTTATCTCTTAAAAGGCCCTGTTGCTTCTCCTTGTCACCAAGTAGTAATGATGTTGCTCCTCTTCATGCATCCAAATTAAGTTAGGTAGAATGTCACCCATCATAATATACGCATAATAAATGTAGAAAAAATATTCAAGGCAAACAATCCTTTCTAATGGTTATTGACAGGGCCTCTTTCTTTGCATGCATTCAAGCAGGCAACTAGAATGTCTAAAGCTGACAACTGGAATCCAGAGCCATTGGGCAGTAAGTATCCTAAAGGGATATTCATCTTCACTTCTATCCTGTTCAAGCTGACAGCAGGTGTAGAAAAGCATTCCTTTCAATACAGTCCTTACATTGTGGAAACAGGCCATTCAGCCCACCAGGTCCACACTAACCCTCTGAAAAGCATCCCACCCAGACACATACCCCTTACCCTATCCCTGTAACCCTGCATTCCCCATGGTTAATCTACCTAGCCTGCACATCCCTGGACACTATGGGCAATTTCTTTGGACTCTGATAGAAAACCGGAGCACCCAGAGGATATCCATGCAGATACAAGGAAAATGTGCCTGAGGGTGGATCAAATCCAGGTCCCAGCAGTGCTGACCATTGTGCTATCGTGCCGTCCCCTCAATCTTTTTGTACGAATCAAAATCACATCCATGGAAAACATACTAATCTAAAATTTTGAAAGGCTTAAGGGGCAATTTAATGCACACTGGTTGGATAGTAACTATAGAAACATGGGAATATAGGAATAGGAGTAGGCCATTCAGCCCTCGGGCCTGTTCCACCATTCAATGAGATCATGGCTGATCTGTGGCCTAAGTCCTTAACTAACTCCTAACACCTTATGGCCCAATTTCCTTAATACCTTGTTTAACAAACATTTATCCATGTAAGATATAAAATTAACCAGTGATCTAGCATCCATTACCATTTGCGGAAATGAATTCCAAACATCTACCACCCTTTGTGGGTAGAAGTGCTTCCTAACATTGCTAATGGTCTGGCCTTAATTCTCAGACATGCTAAATTGCCCCGTAGTATCTAGGGATATACAGGTTAGGTGGATTCGTCATGGTAAACGTGGGGTTATGAGGAAAGGGTAGGGGCTTGGGTCTGGTGGGGTGCTCTTAGGAGAATCCTGGCAGACCTGAGGGCTGAATGGCTTCTACGTATACTGTAGGGATTCTATGATTCTAGCTCCCATGTTTTGTTGGACATCCACTGCATTTAACTTCACACCATTTAGAAAATACCTGATGTATTCTTTTTCGGTCCAAAATAGATAGCCTCCCACTTGCTTACATTGAACTCCATCTGCCGCAGTTTTGCCCATTCACCTAATCTATCAATATCTCTTTGTAATTTTATGCTATCATCTACATTGTACAATGCCACTTAACACTGTGTTATCAAGGCAAGGAAACCTCCTGCTAATTATCATGTCTGGTCCTCCCTCAAGTGATGAATCATTCTTCCTCCTTGTTGAACAACACTTGGAGGAAGCACTCTGGGATAGAGAATTCCATAGATTCACAACTCTTTGCGAGAAGTTATTTCTTCATCTCGGATTTAAATCTGCTACCTGTTATCTTAAAACTATGACCCTTTTTTGAATGAATGAATGATTTCAAATGAATGATTTTATTGTCATGCGTATTTTACAGTAAAAATACAAAATATAGTGAAAAGCTTTCATTCATTGCTATAATTCTGCACCATTTTGAACAATTTAAGAACAAGGAAAACAAAAGAAAAGTATAGTTTAAAAAGAGTCCATCAATCCTGAGCCCCTTATCACTATCAATGATGCTTGCACCGCCACCCCTCCTCTATTGCTTCACTGCCATCTACACCAGAGCCAACCAACCAAGTCGCCAATCCTCAGGCACCATCTTTCACTGCTGAGCCGATACCCCTCCGCTACTGTCTCACTGCTGCCTGCGCCAGACCAACCAACATCAGAGTTGTGCCTCTTGCCACTGGGCCCACTTCAATATCACTGTGATATTCTTCTGCCACCACGCTGCTCACCAGTGCAGGACCCAACCAATGATGAAGTCACCAATCCTCAGGCACCATCTTTCATCGCTGGGCCTACCTCGCCCAAGTTGCGTCTGCCGATGTAGCAGCCGCCGATCATTCCAGATTGCCCCTCAAATGGAAACATCCTCTCTACATCTATCCAGTCAATCAAAAATCAAAGAGCTTAGAGTCATAGAGCCATGGAGAGTGTAAAAAAGGCCTTTTGGCCCATCGAGTCTGCACTGACTTAACTACCATTAAAGGCACACTAATCCCAAGTTCCTGGACTTGTCCCATACTCTTGAGTGTTATGATATTTCAAGTGCTCATCCAAATATTCTTTAAAGGTTGTAAGGTTTCCAGCCTCCACTACCTTCCCAGGCACTGCCTTCCAGATTCCCATCACCATCTGAGAGAAAAGTTCTTAGAAGTTATGAGGATTTCCGCCTCTCCCACCCTTACAGGAAGAGAGTTCCAGATTCCCACTACCCTTTGATTTAAAGAAATCTTTCCTTACATTTCCTCTAAACCTCCTGCCCTTTACCTTAAATCAATGCCCCCTAATCACTGATCCCTGCCTCATGGGGAAATGTTTAGCCAATTCATAGCTTTGTACATCTCAACCATGACCCCCTTCAATCTCTTCTGCTCCAAGGAAAATAACTGCAGTCTATCAAATCTCTCTTCATAACTAAAATTTTCAAGCCCAGGCAACATCCTGGTAAATCTTCTATGCACTGTCTCCATTACAATCGCATCTCGCCTTTTATGTGGATTCCAGAACTGCACACAATCTTTCAGAATTTTAGCTGCTTAACATGTTTTCCTTTCATGAAATATAAGTTCATACAAAGACTGGAAAAGATGAAATGTATTATCTTAAATCCATGCCTCTAGGACGCTGCATATTTATCCATCACAATTGCATTTTGGTTCTACATATGTCACAAGATCCTGATTTGCCTGGAGTAATGAGGTTGATGTTGTGGGAGCCTCAGTTGGTGACTTCTGTCAACAATGGGAGGGAAAAAAACAAAAGCAATGCTAAGATTCCAAATATGGTTTTAGACTTGTTATTACCTCATTCACAGAAAAAGCAGGGAAGTAGAGAGATAAAAATCAGACCCAAAGTTTCTGAATTAGTACTATAGTCTTTGTTATCTTACACCACACACAACCATTTCACAAAATCAAGGAAGGCTTGATTAGATCAAAAGAAATGATAATTAAAATTAGATGTACGTAAACAAGATGAGGAGAGATATAGTAAACAAATAGATTACTTGACAAATCCAAATACTTATCATTTATTCAGGAATTGTCAATAAATATTAAAATGATGCATTAAGAATTCTGTACAGGTTATTTCATTTAAGATTAATGTCAAATACCAATCCTTAAAATTGATGTTTCCTTTGTTACACCTAGTGCTGCAGAGTTCACACTCGACTTTTATATTGTATAGCAGTACTGTACTCTCTAAAATAAAGTAACCCATTGACTCATGAGTTCCACCACTACAGTGCAAACTGAACTTGGAGGCAAAAGAGTAAAACAGTTCATCCAGTATTTAGACATATGAATAAAATACCAACAATACAACTAAAATTCTCATTAAAAATCAATTATGTGGCTATAATTCCAGAATTAATCCATTATTTCAAAATTTATCAAGTTTAATTTTGCTCCTTTGAAAACCTTTTGGGAAAGAGCAGAAATCACAGCGCAACTATTTCTAAAAAGCAATATTATAATTTTATCTGCATTTGAGAAATCTTCATGTCATTCATGAAAAAATTAAAACAACTGAGAATCAGGTGGACAGAATCCATCTTGAAATCATGAATAATTAATTCCCTAGAATTGATATTACTCTCAAATGTATAATTATCTCTATTAGTCAGGCAAAGTTATGATGCACATCATTCAATGCCAGATTTCAGCTATTTACTACCAACAAAACTGAAAGGCAATCAATAACCTATCTTTAAACATTAATTAAATAGCAATACATAATTTCCTCGTCTCTAGGTTATGATATTGTAGAGAATTATAAAATAATAAATAAAGCTGAATAATGTAATTCAGCAAATTTACCCCACTGCGAAACCTCTACGTGATTGAATGCTTTTCTACATGGATATGAGTTTCTGTATTGTTAATAAACAATATTATTGCTGGATCAAGACAGATAGTTGCTACACAAATGAAATTATAAAATAAGAGTTTACACTATAAGCAACATCAGCAAACACAAAACAATTTATGCAACAGAAATGATCCAGACCTGTAACTGTCAACTGAGCCCTTGATTGGTGATGCACAATGTCACAAGTGTAGTGGTCACTGTCGATCTTCTCGAGATGATTAATTGTAAGGCTTAATAAATTGCCATCCTGGTTCAATTCATATTTCTTGTTTGGTTTGATTTCTGCCATTCCCTTTCTCCAGACAACCTTTCGTGCTGGCTGTTCAGTTTCACATTCAAAAACAGCAGTTCCTTTTTCTTCAGTTTTTATGTCATGTAATTCTTTGGTAAATCGGTTTACCATCTCTGGAAAGAATATTGAAAAGTCACACTTGAGTCTCAGAGGACTTTCAGGGTTTTTTTTTTTAAAACTCATTCATGGAATGTGGCCTAGTATTTATTGCCTATCCCTAATTATCTAGAGGGCAGACAGGAGTTAACCATACTACTGTGGGTCTGGAGTTACATGCAGGTCAGACTAGGTAAGGATCAGTTTTCATCTCTAAAGGGCATTCCTAGCAATTGACAATGGCTTCACGGTCATTATTAGACTCTAAATTCCAGATTACTTTTTAAATTGAATTTTTTCATGGTCAGATTTCAACCCAAGACTCTAAAGAATTAGGAGCGCAATTAGAGTCTAGCTCTAATACTACTAGACCATCATCTCCCACTAGGATAGATAAGGACAGGCTGTTTCCCCTTGTGGGAGAGTCTAGGACCAGACGGCACCATCTGAGAATAAGTAGTCTTACAGTTAGGGCAAAGATGAGAAGGAATTTCGACTCTCACAAGGCAGAGGGCTCACGAGGCTGGATCATTAAGTATATTCAAAACAGACAGATTTTTATTCAGTAAGGGAATAAAGGGTTATGGAGAAAAGGCAAGCAAATGAGGTTGAGGATTATCAGATCAATCATGATCTCATTTAATGGTGAAACAGACTCAATGGTAGGGCCCTGGGGAGTGTTGCCAAAGAGGTTCATTGTTCCTTGAAAAGTGGAGTCATAAGTAGACAGGGTAGTGAAGAAGGCGTTTGGCACAACTGCCTTTATTGATCAGTGCACTGAGTACAGGAGTTGAAATGTTGTGTTGCAGCTATATAGGACACTGGTTAGGCCACAATGGGAATACTGCTTTCAATTCTGATCTCCCTGCTATAGGAAACATGTTGTTAAACTTGAAAAGATTCATTAAAGATATACAAGTTTGTTGCCCGAGTTGGAGGGTTTGAGCTAAAGGGAGAGGCCGAATAGGCTGGGACTATTTTCCCTCGAGCGTTGTAGGCTGAGGGGTGACCTTATAGAAGTTTATAAAATCATCAGGGCTTGAATAGGGTGAATAGCCAAGGTCTTTTTCCCAGGGTAGGGGAGTCCAAAACTACAGCATGTAGGCTTAAAGTGAGAATGGAAAGATGTAAAAGGGGCCTCGGGGCAACTTTTTCCACGCAGAGGGTAGTGTGTATATGGAAACAGCTGCCATAAGAAGCGGTGGAGGCTGGTACAATTACGACATTTAAAAGGCATCTGAATGGGAACACGAATAGGAAGAGTTTAGAAGGATATGGGCCAAATGCTGGCAAATGGGACTAGATTAATTTAGGATATCTGGTCAGCCTGAACAAGGTGGACCGAAGGGTGTGTTTCCATGCTGCACAACTCTATGAATCTATTGTTGAATGGCTTATTTCTGCTCCTATGTCTTATTGCCTTATGGTCAAAATAAATTTGCCAATAAAATAACAAAATAACTCAAAATAACCCAAATAACTATATTTGTATACAATACATGGTGAAATTCAATAATCAAACATCCCCGATAGGGAATTAAAATACCAGGAAACTACAGGAGCAGGCTGTGATTCTCTTTTAAATTCACTTCCTACCTTAAGTAACAGTTCACAAAATCAAGCTTGCAGTTCAGCTTCCTGATTCCAAGTAAAAGCCAAAAGAACGGCAGATGCTAGCCCCATACCCCACACCAGGTCTTGTTATCACACACTCTGTCATTACTCAATACCTATTGTTAGCCAAGAACAGTCTCCATTAACAGCTATTCACCCTTCTAGCCAGATCATAATGCACTCCTTTGTCTGTCCAATTGTCCTTCTTTCTCTTTGGGCTTTTTCCTCCACCTATCATTTACTCCTTTCCCGCTCTCCCCAACCTATCTTCTACATATAAACCGACATTTTCCTAGCAACCATCACTTCCGACGAAGGGTCACTGAACCCGAAACATTAACTCTGATTTCTCTTCACAGATGCTGCCAGACTTGCTGAGCTTTTCCACCAACTTCTGTTTTTGTTCCTGATTCCAAGGTTATTTAAAGCATTTTAAACTAATCTTTACACTCCATGATTTGTTTCCTCTCCATCCTTTCAGTTCTCCATGAACTATCTAAGTGAGTAGACAAGCCACCGATCACCTCTTCAACCAAAGCTGTTTAGTAATGGATCAATATTCCTACCAATTTTTTCAATAATATGGAATTCTCTCATTTGTTTTAAGATGATTTTAATAATCCAGTTCAAATTCTGCATTCTCTATCTAGTTATTCAGAAATTCAAATTATCGTCCCTACAGAACAATGTTGGATTTATATACTGCATTGTTTCAATCTTTAAGAATGGGGATTTAAGATGGACAACTTTAGCTTACATAGCCTTCTTGATATCAAAAGCATCACAAGTGGGTCATGACTTATGACACTGAATATTTACATGCAATGTCCTATCCATACATAAGAATAAATTAATATGAGAAAGTTATATGCACATAGTGCTAATGACAATAGTGCAGGGAACAATGAGAAAGTAATGTCATTACCATTTACAGTGATAGTAGCTCTGGTTTTAGAAGTCTCTGTTTCACATGCATACTCTCCCGAGTCCTTCGTAGTGATTTGACGAATTATCAATTTGTTTACAGTTCCTTGCTGAGATATTTCATATGTATGACTCTTTCTAATTCTTTTGCCATCCTTAAACCACTTCACTGAAGCATCAGGCTTAGAGGTTTCACAGCTCAATACAATCTCTTCACCTACGGTCACCGCCAAGTTCTTGAGTTGCTTTGTAATTTCTGTTGGTTTTTCTGAAACACAAAAAAGTTATATTGTTCTACTTAAAACACAAATTTTCATCTTCTAACAATTCAACCTTTGCAATGTAAGGCTTTTATGGAATGTAATTATGTATCAATTACACTGTCTTAAACATAGAGCAGGACAGTGGAAATCAAATGCAGAGTTCTTTTACAGCTCTTAGCAGTTTGTTCTTGAGCACTATGAATGGTGGCTCATGAAAAAAATGATCTTTTCCCATTCGTGATCCTGTATGGTTTAGGCAGCAAATGATAATATGGACACTCAAGAGGTAATTAAACTTTTAAAACTAATCCTAATTTAAATGATCTGTACACCAAACATGCTGAGATGACATAGGGTAAAGTAATACTCCTGCACCACAAGAACAGGATGATCGGAACTCCAACTAAAAGAAAGAAACTATGTTCTGTTTGAAGTTATTTAGCAATCAACAATTCATTTCTACCTCCCACTAATCTTATTAATAAATTAATAAACAATTCTATGGTGAAATTAAGTCAGCAGCCATTAAAATGTACTTTTTTACACCTGCAAAAGTACTTCGGCTGTCTAGAACCATGGAACATTATAGTTTTGTTTAGTGATTGTTTGTGCTTTGATAATGCTCTTATATAGATACAACTTGTATAAATAAGTGTTTCCGTCTGCGTTAGCAACTGTTTATTGACTCACTGATATCTGCTTAAGACAGTCACATTTCAAAGACTTTCACATTGTTAAATATGTACAAATAAGTCACTAAGTACTCATATCAATGTTGATTTAAACTGATCATACCTTTCACTACCAATGAGGCTTTCGAACTAAGATTTCGCACATGGAAAATTACTTCCCCAGCATCTGAAAGAGCTGTCTCCTTAATATTAAGGATGTATTTTCGGCCAATATTAAATGTCTCAAATCTTTCATTGCCTTCCACTAACAGTCCATTTACAGTCCAGTAATATTCATCAATGCTTTCATGAGAAAGTATGCATTCAAAAGATCCATTTTCGCCTTCTTTAATCTCTATGCTCTTTAGTCGCTTTGTGATTCCAATGTTCAAATCTGTAACAAAGTAGATACTTAAAATGAGAACCACAGGTATACTTGATTGTTGGTTCTGATAGACATTGAACACTAAGCAGGCTTCACTTGGGAGCATGTGCACATGCAGGAATAAACCTCAAATACATTTTAAAAAGGTGATAAATAGCTAATAGAGTCAAAGAGATGTACAGCATGGAAACAGACCCTTCGGTCCAACTCGTCCATACCGACCAGATATCCTAGATAAATCAAGTCCTATTTGCCAGCAGTTGGCCCATATCCCTCTAAATCCTTCCTATTCATATACCCACCCAGATGCCTTTTAAATATTGTAATTGTACCAGCCTCCACCACTTCCTCTGGAGGCTCATTCCATACTTGCACCACCCTCTGCATGAAAAAGTTGCCCCTTAGGGACCTTTCAAAATCTTTTAATAAAAACCTTAAAAATGAAAAGAACTGAATAGAAGAATATATTAGTTAATAGAAATAAAGGGTTTAAAAAGTAAATATATTTGAAAAATTTTTAAACATCAGCTTTTTTTAATGCACATACCCATGTGCTGCCTGAAAAAATGTTAGAGGCGAATATGTGCAGTTGGCAAATATTATCAGATAGTTGGTGTTCACAAACATTCTGCTTTAACAAAGCTTTGCACAAATTCTGATTATCCTACCTGATTGCAACAAGGAACACCCTAATGCAAGTCTTAAGCATTGCAAACACAGATTTATTCTTTGAAAGATATTGTCCAACAGATTTGGTAACATAATGATGTTCACATTTGTTGGTAGACAAAATGTTTCTTTGTCATCTGACAGATGCATTATGTAGAGCTCTAAAAGTACATTAGGAAGATCATGTTTGCAACAGGAGGCAGATGACAGTACAGAATGCTGGATTCTACATCACATAGCAAGGTTACTCAGCCATAATGTCAGCTGTGGCTCCGTTGGGAGCACACCTACCTCTGAATCTTAAGGTTCTGGCTTCAAATCCCTCTGGAGTTTGAATAGGAAAGTAAAGCCTGACACACTGAGGGAGTACTGTGTTGCTGTACATGTTTTCCATCAAGTCAAAACCCCATAATGGGGATGATCTCTGGTGTCCTGTACAATTTTGAACCACTTTGATATATTGGTTGGTCATGATAAGAACAAGTCATTTTCTTTTAAAATATCAAAAGAAATGCGCTGTGTGTTCATAAGGGATGAAATGAAGAGAAACAAAAGTTGTGCGTACAAACAAAAAGAATGTGTTTGTCTTTCCTGACAACCATAAAAAATATACAAATACTTATTCTGGAATTATGTTTGGCTCCGCAATATGTATGACTTAGACTTAAATCCACTTTTGTGGCTATTTTCCTGGTCTAGCCATTAGATATGGTTTTGTAGCCTTCTTGGATGCTGTAATAATGCTATGATTCTAAGATTTCAGGCTTAATAATCCAAGAGAATCTGAAATGGGCCAAGGACTCTTCCAAGCACCTTTACAAATGGAAACTCTTTGGATGAAAGAATAAAAAAATTATGCAGAAAAGCAGGGAAAATTCATGTGTTTCTCAGTGTGATAGGAACATTTAGCCAATCATAATAAAAACCGAAAGAACTGCGGATGCTGTACATCAGGAACAAAAATAAAGTTGCTGGAAAAGCTCAGCTGGTCTGGCAGCATCTGTGAAGGAGAAAACAGAGTTAACGTTTCAGGTCCGGTGACCCTTCCTCAGAACTATTCTGAGGAAGGGTCACCGGACCCCCTCAGAACTATTCTGAGGAAGGGTCACCGGACCCAAAATGTTAACTCTATATTCTCCTTCACAGATGCTGCCAGACCTGCTGAGCTTTTCCAGCAACTTTATTTTTGTAGCCAATAATAATACCAACTTAAACATATCAGCCACTCTGAAGAATCCCAAGAAATTCCCAAAGATCCGGTACTGAAGACCTGCATCTCCTTTCTTGCAATTTCTGCACATAGGGTTTAGTTGTTACTTGGGCATCAACCTCAGAAAAAAATAATCTCCTCAAGACTCCTATTGAAGCATTATTACTTCTTCAGACTGCAGAATGGTATGCAAATATCTTCCTTCATTTGTTTTTCACTATTTGTCAGGCTACAATAGACATCCAATAGCAATGCATACCTTGGATGGCAACTTTAGCACTTGCTCTGTCAGTCCCAATGTCACAAGTATACAATCCAGCATCACTTTTATTCAGGTCATGTACTATAAGACAAAGTGTTTTTCCAGCATGCAGTAGTTCATATTTGTCACTTGAACCAAGAATCACATCATCCTTTTTCCAGATAGGATTCACTTTGGGCTTCGATACTTCACACTCCAAAGTGATCATTCCTCTCTCTTCTCCAACAATGTCATCCAAGGATTTCATGAAGACTATTGGCTTTTCTGCAATATGACAGATAAAGAACAAATACAGTAACTTCAATTTTCAACATTTCCTGAGCAGCTAAAAGTTCACCTTGATAAGCAGATTGTTGAAGCAAAATTTTTTTTATTCATTTACTGCCCGTCTCTAGTTGCTTTCGAGAAGGTGGTGGTGAGCTGCCTTCTTAAACAGCTGCAGTCCATGAGCTATAGGTTGGCCCACAGTGCCCTTAGGGAGGGAATCCAAAATTTTGACCCAGCGACACTGAAGGAACAGCAATATATCTCCAAGTCAGGATAGTCAGTCAACATTGCAAAGTTCTCCTCATTTACATCTGAAGATGTACACCAAATTGGGAGAGTTCTACCACAAACCAGTCAACAGCCTAACTCTCAGAATTATACCTTAAAACCATTGTCTTTATTACCACCGCAATAACATGAAAGATGTACTAAAAGAAGTAACACAGTGGTATATAGTTAGGCAGGAACTGCCTGGGAGTCTTTGATCCAGACACCATGAAGTCTCAATGGTCAAAATGTAAATTTAAAACCACAGATTCAATCATTCAAATTACCAACCCCATTAGTCTATTCTCAACCTGCACAAAGGTATGGAAGGTCTCCTTCATAGTAGAATCAAATGGCACGTAGAAACCAGTAATTTGATCACTCATGTCAATTTTGGGTTCTATCAAGGCCATACACCTCCTCGCTTCATTACATTCTTGGCTTACACATGAACAAAAAGGTGTGGTGAGAATGACTGCACTTTACATCATGGCAACAACTGACTGAGTTTGGCATCATACAATTCTCAAAAGAAGACTCCACCGGTCAGAGTCATATATAGCACAAAAGAAGATAGAATGCAATAAAACTGCAGATGCTGTAAACCAGAAACAAAAACAGAAATTACTGGAAAAGCTCAACAGGCCTGGCAACATCTGTGGAGAGAAATCAGAGTTAACATTTCTGGTCAAGTGACCCTTCCCCAGTTCTGGTGGTTCTGAGGAAGGATCACTCAGCCGGAAATGTTAACTCTGATTTTTCTCCACAGATGCTGCCAGACCTGCTGAGCTCTTCCAGTAATTTCTGTTCTTGTGACAAAAGACATTAATGTGGTTGTCGAAGGCTAATCATCTCTGTCCCAGGATGCTGCATTTGAGTTCCTCAGAACATAATTCCAACTATGGTTTTTGTTTACCTCTGCAGTTCCTCAACTCTACCCACACAGATTCTACACCATCTGACCCTAACTCATTTCTTACTATTGATTTAATTTCAATTCTTGCTAATAAGGCAACCCCCTCTGCCCATCTGCCTGTCTTTTCGATAGGATGTCTATCGTTGGATATTCAGCTCCCAATCCTGATCCCCTTGCAGCCATATCTCCGCAATGCCCACCACGTCATATCTGCCAATTTCAATCTGCGCCACAAGCTCATTTTCCTTTTTATACTGCTTGCATTCAGATATAGCACCTTCAGTCCTGTATTAACCGTCCCCCTTCTCATTGTCACTCGTTTATCCAGTGTGCTTGAAGGTTGATTCCTAATCTTTTCCAAACACTCTGTCCTATTTGTGCCTGTGCTGGAGACTGTAATAACCTCTCCTGAATTCTCCTTTCCCATCATTGTTTTCTTGTTTCTACACAGTGCAATCTACCCCTACAGATGTTAGCCTGTTACTTTGATCCCCACTGGGAGAAGTTTTACCCTTCCCCTCCTCACCCCACTTTCTAGTTTAAAGACCTGTTGACCAGCCTATTTACCCTTTCACTAGAACAATGGTCCCAGCTCAGTTCAGGTGCAGACCATCCCAGCGGTACAGATCCTTCCTGTTCCAATACTGATGCCAGTGCCCCATGAGAAGGAACCACTCTCTCCCACACCACTCCTTTAGCCACACGTTTACTTCCCTTATTCTCATGTCCCAGTACCAATTTGCACATGGTTCAGGCAGTAATCCAGAGATTACAACCCTTGAGAACCTGCTCTTTAATTTCATTCCTAGCTCCTGATAATCCCTGACCAGGCCCTCCTTCCTAGTCTTGCCTATAGCGTTTGTTCCAACCTGGACAGCAACAAAAGGATCCTCTCACTCTAAGCCAGTCAGAGATATCCCTTACTCTAGCATCAGGCAGGCAACACACCATACAGGACTCTTGATCCTGCTTATGAAGGATACTATCTATTCCCTTGACAACACATCCTCCACAAACCCCCGTTTAGTAGTGGTGACTGCGCCAATGCAAATCTTCACGCCATCCACCAATCAGCATCATCACCACCCTCTGCTGAATGCTTGTCTTCAATCGAATTCGGGGGGGGCGTCTTGCTCAGGTCCTCCTTCTGCTGCGGTGACTGTGCCGATGCAAATCTGCACTCCAACCGCCCTCTGCTAAACCGAGAAAAACTGAATGGCCTGAAGGTAGATAAGTCACCAGGAGCAGATGGGTTACATCCCAGAGTTCTTAAGGATATAGCTGAAGAGATAGTGGAGGCATTAGTGGTGATCTTTCAGGAATCGCTAGAGTCAAGGAGGGTCCCAGAGGAGTGGAAAATTGCTAAAGCGACACCCTGTTTAAAAAGGGGGTAAAGCAAAAAACTGAAAATTAAAGGCTGATTAGCCCAATCTCGGTCGGGTAAGATTTTAGAGTCCATCATGAAGGATGAGATTTCTGAATGCTTGGAAGTGCATGGTAAAATACGGCAAAATCAGCATGGCTTCATCAAGGGGAGGTCATGCCTGACAAATCTGCTAGAATTCTTTGAGAAAGAAATGAGCAGGTTAGACCAAGGAGAATCAATGAATGTTGTCTGCCTGGACTTCAAAAAGGCCTTTGACAAGCTGCCACACAGGAAGCTGCTTAAGGGCCCATGGTGTTAGAGGCAAGGTGCTAGCATGGATAGAAAATTGGCTCTCTGGCTGAAAGCAGAGAGTGGTGTTAAAAGGGTCCTTCTCAGGATGGCATCCGGTAACAAGTGGTGTTCCACAAGGATCAGATTTGGGACCACAACTTTTCACTTAATACATAAATGATCTAGATAAAGGACATGAGGGCATTCTGGCTAAGTTTGCAGATGATACAAAGATAGGTAGAGGGACAGGTAATATTGATGATGTGGGGAGGCTGCACAAGGTTAGGAGAATGGACAAAGAAGTGGCAGATGGAGTACAACGTGGGAAAGTGTGAGGTCATGCACTTTGGCAAGAAGAATAGAAGCATGGACTATTTTCTAAATGGGGAGAAAATTCAGAAGTCTGAAGTGCAAAGAGACTTGGGAGTTCTAGTCCAGGATTCTCTCAAGGTAAACTTGCAGGTTGAGTCAGTAGTTAGGAAGCCAAATGCAACTTTGGTATTTTTTTTGAGCGAACTTGAATATAAAAGCAGGGATGTACTACTGAGGCTTTATAAGGCTCTGGTCAGGCCACGTTTGGAATATCGTGCGCAGTTTTGGGCCCCATATCTCAGGAAAGGTGTACTGGCCCTGGAGCTGGTTCAGAGGACGTTCACGAGAATGGTCCCAGGAACGAAAAACTTAACATATGAGGAACATTTGAGGACTCTGGGTCTATACTTGATGGAGTTTAGAAGGTTGAGGGGGAATCTAATTGAAACTTACAGAATACTGAATGGCCTGGACAGAGTGGATGTTGGGAAGATGTTTCCATTGGTAGGAGAGACTAGGACCGGAGGGCACAGCCTTAGAGTAAAAGGAAGACCTTTTAGAACGGAGATAAGGAGAAACTTCTTCAGGCAGAGAGTGGTGAATCTATGGAATTCACTGCCACAGAAGGCTGTGAAGGCCTGTTTATTGAGTATATTTAAGACAGAGATAGATAGGTTCTTGATTGTTAAGGGGATCAAGGGTTACAGGGAGAAAGCGGGAGAATGGGGTTGAGAAACTTATCAGCCATGATTGAATGGCAGAGCAGACTCAATGGGCTGAATGGCCTAATTTCTGCTCCTATGTCTTATGATCTTAGGATAGTGTGCTAGCCCCAACCATGTTCAGCTGCTTCATCAATGAAGATCCCTCCAACATGAGGTCAGCAGTGGGGATGTTGTGGGGTCTTTGTCTTTGCTCTGGGCACCCTCACAATCTGTTCCATTTGCACCACCCCTCTCCCCTGTCTACAGCTTAATAAAAACCATTACTGAGTACTCTTGTGGCACAGTGGCAGTGTCCATACCTCTGGACCAGGAGACCCAGTTTCAAGTCCTATTTCCTCCAGAGGTGTGTAATAGCAACACTAAACAGGTTGATTAGAATATGTCTAAAAATATGCTGTTTTCTAGCTCCTTTTAGTTCTAAACAAGAGTCATACTGAACTCAAGTGGTAACACTGTTCCATTCGGTAACACTCCACAAATGTTTCTTCAGTACTTTCTGTTTTCGTTCAGATTTCCAGCATGTGCAGTACTTTGTTTTTAGTCATAAATTGTAATATCTGTGCCATGAAAATGCCAGGCAACAACCGTATTCAACAACATTACCATCATTAAATCCCGAGCATCAACATCTTGGAGTTTACCACTGACCAGAAACATGACCACACCAGCTGCAAAAAAAAGTCAGGGACTGAACTTTCGAAGGCAAGCAATTCACTCGCTTTTCTTAAGGCCTTCAGTAAGGTCCAAGATGGACAAATAAATAAGCCTGCAGAATGTGTCAAGGTACAAGTGGCAGAGTAGATTTCTAGTTAGCTTCATGGTAGAAGCAGGAACAAGAGGTAGCTATTCAGATCAGCTGAAGCTGAGAACAACATCTCAAAGGTAAGTGCTGGAACAACCGCAATCCAAAATTTATATTATCAACTTAGACTTTGGAATCAGAAACAGAGGGCAGAATTTTACACAGAAAACAGGACTTCTGGCAAGCCAGTAAATGCCTTGTGACACTTTCACTGGTGAACTACCGCCACATTTAAGTAGACACAATCAGGTCTTCCACAGGATTAAGAAATCCAGGGCAGAAATGACCCTTTCCCCACTAAAAGTTACCAGCCAATCAGAGACAGGGATTTTTCCTTGTCGATAGTGCCAATGGAAGCTGGTAACGCACCAACAGAGCCCAGAATCAATGAGGAATCCAAAGCCGAAGGTGAATGAGGGCAGAACGGTGATCCTGGAAATCTCTCTTGCTTATTTCTGTAGTTCAGTTCTTTTCTCCCTATGTTTGGACAAAAACTGAAATGAGGTCAGAAGCTGAGTGGTTGTGGCAGACTCCAAACTGAACACTGAATGCTCTCAGGACCCATAGCCTTTGCTGCATCCAATGTCTTCACCCATTTCTTGATGTTCCATGGAGCAAATCAAATTGTTTCTAATGCTGGGGGGGGCCTCAGAAGGAGATTGAGTTGGATCATTCCATTCAACACTCCTGCCTAAAGATTACGCAAATGTATCTAACCTGAATCTTCCTCTATTCTACTATTCCACGGCATCATTTTAATTTTATTTCCTATTTACATACATTCACTTAGTCATACATATATACTAATAAATGAGTAAATTTCCAAAGTAAGTTATGAAATATAAGCAAGTTGATGGTGTGAATGCAAACCTAATAATTTGTTGGAAATTCTCCATAATAATGTCATTAGGGCACTGAAACGTAGCTACAAAAAGAGATTCTTCATTTCATTTAGATTGTCTGGCTTACAATGTAAGTTATGGGATAAAATATTACCGTTCCTCAAAGTAAAAATACTTTTGATAAAACTCTAGCATATCTGCATACAATTAAATTGGAAGAACATAAGTGAATCAATGTCAGTTTCAAAAAAGGTATTCCCATTCAGAAATATTACACCTTAAATGGTTCATGCAATTATTCTTAAACTCCGAATAAACAATAACGGGGCGCTTACCTCGAACATTCAGCTGTGCTTTATCTGTCAGATCTCTCACTTTGAACATAACTGTTCCTGTGTCATCAGGTGTTACGCCTTTCAGAATTAACATGTGTCTCTTTCCTTTTTTCTTTATCTCATTGAAATCATTCGAGTATAAGGGAGTATCATTTAGATACCACTGAACTTCTTCAACATCATGAGACAACTCACATGAATAAACTAGATTGCTGTCTTCCTCAGTATCTATGTCTTCCAAATGTTTTATGATTTCTATTTTCAAAGCTACAAATGCAAATACAAACATTATTACTTAACGTTTATACTTTAAATTATACGTGATCTATATGGTTTCATTCCAGACATATTCTTGCTCAACGGGAGATTAAATTGGAGGATCAATGGCTGATTCATAGCAACCCCAATTCACAGTACTCTCAAATGACTTTCAAATCATTGACAAATGTTGTCATCAAGCTACAGACATGATTCTCTGACCTGTGCTCCAGTCAAGTGAAACGGGACACCAGAAGCAAATTTGAACATACATCCAATATATATTTCCCTTAATGTATCCCCCTTAATATGAAGTAAATTATATTCCACAAATCACAAGACAGAAAATACTATTTCAATTAGCTTCACTTTTAAGTAGAAAATTAAACACAAGCAAAGCTACCTATGCACCAGACAAACAAAAAAATTACACCTGATCAATCAGTACGTCAAAGCTGACTTGAGGGGCGGAATGGTCTACACCTGTTTCTATACAGAAGCAGCAATATAGATGTGAGTACTTGTAGTGGGGTATCTATAGTTTAATTACTGCCAACTGCTACTACAACTACAACACTGCGGTAACTTAGTTGCCTGGTTTTGAGGTTTTTAGATGAAAATGGTAATCTTAATGCAGACGGCTTCATTAATTCCATGTGGGTCTGCCAAAGCCTGCCTCAATCCATTATCAGGTGACTACTGCAGACATGTTAGATCCATGTTTCTTTCTTTTTAAAAATCGTTATCAGTCCGTAAAGGTTCTCTGGCATATCAATCAGATAATGGAAGCTAACATTTGATAGTCCACATTTACTGCTATCATAACAATAGCCCCAGCATAAAGGGCTGGCCATTTAGGACTAAGATGAGGAGACATTGCTTGACTCTTTTTAGAAAAAAAGAGCTTTGTTAGATAGCTTGGTACTTTTTATGATCATGTTATTTATTATCTATTTATTTATTTAAATGATCTGTTTATTACTTTGAGATTGGCCATGATAAAATGCCCTATAGTTTGCAGGTTAGTGGATTAGCAATGGTATATGTGTGGTTACGGGGATAGGATGGGCTAGGTCTGGGTGGATGGTCTTTGGAGGGTCAGTACAGATTTGATGGGCTGAATGGCATCTTTCTGTATTGCGGGGATTCTATGAAAAACTATTTCCTCATCTCTATCTCAAATGTGTACTCCCCTATTTTTAAGGCTGTACTTGTTTGTCCACACCAACGCAGGCTTCTCATTAAATTGCGCATTTAGACAGGTTTGGAAACTGTGGCCTTGACCCAGGAGAGGGGGCAAACAAGGTTGTGCGATGAAGCACCCTCCCTCATCCCCGTCCTCTCCCACTCTCTATCCTCACTTTCCTGCCCTTCTTCACTTTTCCTTCAACCCTGATTCCCTCTCCCCCGATTCTGTTTCACCGCCCCCATCCCTTCACCCTGCATCCTCACTCTCTGCTCATGAGCCCCATTTGTAAAGCCTGTGCATGCTTCCATGCATATGTACCTCTGATACGTCTACATTCCAGTCGACATAGGCCTTGGCTGTCTAGCCTTTCTCATAAGGCAATCTGCCCATTCCAGATATTAATCTCGTAAATCTTCTCTGAACTGTTTTCAACACGTTAACATCCTTCCATAAATGAAGTGACCAGTAGTGTACAGGACTTCAAATGAGGCCTCACCAATGCCCTGTGTAAATTAATGTACAGAAACAGCTAAACTATAAAACAGTATGTTTCAATGAAATTATCCCTCATTCTTCCAAACAACAGGAATATATTTAACCTCTGCTGCACTGTCTCCAATACAAGTTCATTCTTCCTTAAATATGGAGGCCTAAATGGTATACAGTACTCTAGAGATAGTAGGAACTGCAGATGCTGGAAAATCCAAGACAACAAGGTGCAGAGCTGGATGAACACAGCAGGCCAAGCAGCATCATAGGAGCAGGAGGGCTGACGTTTCGGGCCTAGACCCTTCATCAGAAATGGGGGAGGGGAACGGGGTTCTGAAATAAATAGGGAGAGAGGGGGAGGCGGATAGAAGATGGATAGAGGAGAAGATAGGTGGAGAGGAAACAGACAGGTCAGAGAGGCGGGGATGGAGCCAGTAAAGGTGAGTGTAGGTGAGGAGGTAGGGAGGAGATAGGTCAATCCAGGGAGAATGAACAGGTCAAGGGGGCGGGATGAGGTTAGTAGGTTGGAAATGGGGGTGGGGCTTGAGGTGGGAGGAGGGGATAGGTGGGAGGAAGAACAGATTAGGGAGGCGGGGACGAGCTGGGCTGGTTTTGGGATGCAGCAGGGTGAGGGGAGATTTTGAAGCTTGTGAAATCCACATTGATACCATTGGGCTGCAGGGTTCCCAAACGGAATATGAGTTGCTGTTCCTGCAACCTTCGGGTGGCATCCTTGTGGCACTGCAGGAGGCCCAGGATGGACATGTCATCTGAGGAATGGGAGGGGGAGTTGAAATGGTTCGTGACTGGGAGATGCAGTTGTTTATTGCGAACCGAGCGTAGGTGTTCTGCAAAGCGGTCCCCGAGCCTCCGCTTGGTTTCCCCGATGTAGAGGAGGCCACAACGGGTACAGCAGATGCAGTATACCACATTAGCAGATGTGCAGGTGAACATCTGCTTGATGTGGAAAGTCTTCTTGGGGCCTGGGATGGGGGTGAGGGAGGAGGTGTGGGGGCAGGTGTAGCACATCCTGCGGTTGCAGGGAAAAGTGCCAATTGTGGTGGGGTTGGAGGGGAGTGTGGAGCGGACAAGGGAGTCACAGAGAGAGTGGTCCCTCCGGAAAGCAGATAAAGGTGGGGAGGGAAAAATGTCTTTGGTGGTGGGGTCGGATTGCAGATGGCGGAAATGTCGGAGGATGATGTGTTGGATCCGGAGGTTGGTGAGGTGGTACGTGAGGACCAGGGACATTCTTTTTTGGTTGTTATTGCGGGGACGGGGTGTGAGGGATGAGTTGCGGGAAATGTGGGAGATACGGTCAAGGGCGTTCTCGACCACTGATGGGGGGAAGTTGCGGTCCTTGAAAAACGAGGACATCTGAGATGTACGGGAGTGGAATGCCTCATCCTGGGAGCAGATGCGGCGGAGGCGAAGGAATTGGGAATACGGGATGGCATTTTTGCAGGAAGGTGGGTGGGAGGAGGTGTATTCCAGGTAGCTGTGGGAGTCGGTGGGCTTGAAATGGATATCAGTTTCTAGGTGGTTGCCCGAGATGGAGACAGAGAGGTCCAGGAAGGTGAGAGAGGTGTTAGAGATGATCCAGGTGAACTTAAGGTTGGGGTGGAAGGTGTTAGTGAAGTGGATGAACTGCTCGAGCTCCTCGTGGGAGCACGAGGCGGTGCCAATACAGTCATCAATGTTATGGAAGAAGAGATGGGGTTTAGGGCCAGTGTAGGTACGGAAGAGGGATTGTTCCACATAACCTACAAAGAGGTAGGCATAGCTTGGGCCCATGCAAGTACCCATGGCCACCCCCTTTGTCTGTAGGAAGTGGGAGAAATTGAAAGAGAAGCTGTTGAGGGTGAGGACGAGTTCGGCTAAGTGGATGAAGGTATCAGTGGAGGGGGAACTGGTCGGGCCTGCGGGACAGAAAGAAGCGGAGGGCCTTTAGGCCATCTGTATGGAGAATGCAGGTGTAAAGGGACTGGATGTCCATGGTAAAGATGAGGTGTTGGGGACCGGGGAATTGGAAGTTTTGGAGGGGGTGGAGGGCGTGGGTGGTGTCACGGACGAAGGTAGGGAGTTCCTGGACCAAGGGGGAGAAAATGGAGTCGAGATAGGTAGAGATAAGTTCGGTGGGGCAGGAGCAGGCGGAGACAATGGGTCGACCAGGGCAGTCAGGTTTGTGGATTTTGGGAAGGAGATAGAAGCGGGCGATGCGGGGTTGGGGAACGATGAGGTTGGAGGCCGTGGGTGGGAGGTCACCTGAGGTGATGAGGTTGTGGATGGTTTGGGACATGATGGTTTGGTGCTCGGGGGTGGGGTCATGATCGAGAGGGCGGTAGGAGGAGGTGTCAGAGAGTTGGCGTCTGGCCTCGGCGATGTAGAGGTCAGTGCACCATACTACAACTGCGCCTCCCTTGTCCACGGGTTTTATGGTGAGGTTGGAATTGGAGCGGAGGGCTGCACGTTCTGCGGGGAGAGGTTGGAGTGGGTGAGAGGGGTGGAGAGGTTGAGGCGATTGATGTCACGACGGCAGTTGGAGATGAAGAGGTCGAGGGAGGGTAGGAGGCCTTGGGGTGGTGTCCAGGAGGAGGGGGTGTGTTTGGGGAGGTCACCTGAGGTGATGAGCTTGTGGATGGTTTGGGAGATGATGGTTTGGTGCTTTTCACAAGCTTCAAAATCTCCCCTCCCCCTACCGCATCCCAAAACCAGCCCAGCTCGTCCCCGCCTCCCTAACCTGTCCTTCCTCCCACCTATCCCCTCCTCCCACCTCAAGCCCCACCCCCATCTCTTACCTACTAACGTCATCCCACCCCCTCGACCTGTCCGTCCTCCCTGGACTGACCTATCTCCTCACTACCTCCCCACCTACACTCACCTTTACTGGCTCCATCCCCGCCTCTTTGACCTGTCTGTTTCCTCTCCACCTATCTTCTCCTCTATCCATCTTCTATCCGCCTCCCCCTCTCTCCCTATTTATTTCAGAACCCCCTTCCCCTCCCTCATTTCTGATGAAGGGTCTAGGCCCGAAACGTCAGCCCTCCTGCTCCTATGATGCTGCTTGGCCTGCTGTGTTCATCCAGCTCTGCACGTTGTTGTCTACAGTACTCTCGAGTTGGCCTCATCAAATCCTGGAATAATTTGACTACACGTTTTTATTCCTATACTCCAAGCACTTTGTAATAAAGGTCAACATGCCAGACAATTGTTTGCTACACCTGAATGATAAACTTTCATGTTAAAGTCTCAGTGTTTACAAGATTCACATTTTGTTAAAAAATTCTGCTTTTCTGATCTTATGACCAATGTGAATAACTTGACATTTCCCTGTATTATGCGCCTTCTACAATTTTGTTCATTCAGTTAACGTGTCTATATTTTTTTAGAACCTGTGTCTTTGCAGTTTACTATCCCACATTGTCTTGTATAAATGGAATACCAAATCACATTACTCTCAGCATCTTTCCCTAATCCATTAATATACATGGTAAATAACTGAAACTCAAGCACTGATCATGGAAGCACTCCACCTTGTCAACTTGAAAATGCCCAATTATCAGATCCTTTCTGCTTGGACAAGAAGTTTGACTTAAGTTTTCTCTTTACCATTATGGCACTATGAACACACCCAAATGAGAATGGGCCTGTACGTGATTCACAATGAATGTTTTGGTTTACATTTCTTTAGCTTTAAAAGGTTACTGTGAGGTAGGATTTCCAATAAATATTAATAACTAAGGTGAATACAAACAACTGGTTCAGAGAACTGTTCCAAGATAAAGGGCATAAGCATGAGATATATAAACAAGCAAAAGCAAAGTAATGAATATTTCGTGAGCAGAGGCAGCAACATTTCTGCAATCAATGAACAGATGGTTAATTTCTAATCATGCACTTTCAACTTAATCTGTAACAGTAAGGAACTTATTACAAAGTGTTAATTTGTACCTTCAACTACAAGTGTGGCTGTGGTCTGTGCATTACTTGATTTGCAGCTATATTCACCAGAATCTTCAGGTCTGAGGCTTGAAATGGTGAGTTCTGTCATGTTCTTGTTTTGACTGAATTTGTATCGGTCAGATGATTTGATTAAGCTCTGGTCTTTGTACCATCTGACCATCTTGGGAGTAGGTGTAAACTCACAGCTCAAAGTAGCAGACAGCCTCTCTTCCACTGTAATATTCTGTAATTCTCTAACTACCTCTGTTGGAGGCTCTGGAAAATAGTCACATGTGAATTTATAATTAAAATTGTACAATAGGAATGAACTTACATTAATGTAACACCTCAACATTAAAAAAAAAGTGTCCTCAAGTGAAATACAAGTTAACAAGTTAACAACTTAACACAGCACCTTACAAACCCACTTTACCATGTGGAAAGACAAGGACAGCAGATACATGGGAACACCACCACCAACAAGCTTCCCACAAAGCTATACAGCAGCCTTATTTGGAACGATATTGGTGTTCCTTCGCTATCATTGAATTAAAATCCTGAAATTTCCTCCTAAAACAGCAATAGCTACAGAACATGAACTGCAGTGGTTCAAGGAAGCAACTCACCACCATCTTGTAAGGGCAATTAGGGATAGGTAGTACATGGGTAATAAATCCTAGCTAGCATCACCCACAGTCCATGAAAGATTTTTTTTTAATTCATTCAAGGGATAAGGCAGCATTTATTGCCCACTCCAAATTGCCCAGAAGGCAGCTGGGAGTCAAACACTGGTGTGGGTCTGGAGTCACATGTAGGCCAGACCGGATAAAGGTGGCAGGTTCCTTCCCTAAAGGACATTAGTGAACCAGATGGGTTTATTCTAACAATGGGCAATTGATTCACGGTCATCATTAGATTCTTAATTCCAGATATTTATTGAATTCAAATTCCACCATCTACCGTGGCAGGATTCAAACCTGGGTCCCCAGAACATTATCTGGGTGCCTAGATTAACAGTCCAATGATAAGATCACTAGGCCATCACCTCCCCATCGATAATGAAAAATAATGAAAAATGATCCAAAAATTAGTAACAAACCACATTGGTAATATTAGGATTGTAGTGATTGTAACCACGTCAGCCAGCTGAGCCTCACAGAATATGAGTCCCTGAATGGGGTATTGGCTGACATAAAAATTATGAGTGTCTGAGTGATACTGACACTATGATTCCAGACTCTGTATGAGTTACAGTCAAAACTGGCTCATGTGTAAATAAAGGGTGACTTGCTGACAGGATACCAGCCTCTGTGGAGTTATTTCAGGGGTGATAATAGTAAAGCACGATTCTGAAGAAATTTGCTTGTGACAGTCAGCTTTGAGTTAGGATAAGTATTTCTTACATCATTTCTTTGTTTGGGAATGTTGACACATTCAACTCTTCCAGCATGGACTGAGCCCAGTGTGTGGAAAGAATGTGTTATGTCTTGAGGAAGATGACATTATGGCAGACAAAAAATGAGCAATTCTCCTGGCAGCCTGTGCAGGAGCAGCTTTTTCTGACATTGGGAGTCTAACTTTCCCTGAGGCACCAGAGACTAAAATCCTTCAAGAAGTGACTGACATAGTTAAGGAATATTACAACTCCAAGCCTCTCTTAATTCTGAGACGCTATCACTTTTACTCGGCAACTCAAGAACCAAGAGAATCAATATTGGCATTTTTGACCAGGTTAAGACAACTGTCAGAAATCAGAAGGCTGGAAAGTGAAGGAATCATCAAACCAGCCCAATTCACAGAATGAATAGCACCGGGCATACCAATTTTAAAGTTGATGGGTCCATTCATCTGTGTGGGGATTTTAAACAAATGTAAACCAATTTTCGCAGCTGGAGAAATCCTTCACGTGGACGATTTATACGCAAAGCTGGCAGGGGGGCCTGTCCTTCATGAAGCTGGACAAGAACCACGCTTACTTAGTCTGCTTAAAGAGGCCAAGACAATGCTAACCATAGCTTTAGGCCGCATTCAGTGATGAGCTCTAATGCTAAGTTGTTAAAATTGCAAGTTAGAACACTTTCCAGGAAGCCCAGTTGCACATGTGGATGCATTGAGCCACCTCCCACTACTAGATACACCACCAGAGGTAACCCCAACAGAAGGGTCTGGAATAATATTAAGTTTTCAGGACGCAATCCCAGTCACAGTCAACAATAACACACTTTGGACTTAGAAAGATCCAGTCCTGTCCAAACTGAAAAAACTGGTTTTAATGGGGGAAACCAAAGGGCCATCACAACTAGACTTGAAACCTTTTGGACCCAGAGAGACCAGCTCACTATAGAGGATGGCATATTGTTATGGGGAGCAAAAGTAATTGCCCCAAACAAACGTCACCTTCAAATACTGGCTGAACCCAACTAGGGCCATCCAGGGGTCTGCAAAATGAAAACTGTTGGTGAGACATTAGTCTAGTGGCCAGGGTTAGACACAACAAAACCCCATTGATGGGGCAGTACCAAGAGTGTCAACAAGGACAAAAGCTACTGCCAACAGCGTCCCATCTGCAATGATTTTAACAAGGTCAGCCAGATGGACCTCACAGAATATGAGTTTCCTGATTGGGGCTGTTTATCATGGAGCCCTGGCTGACATAAAAAGTTTGAGCGGCAGGCATACTGACACTCTGGTACCTGTCTCTGTACGAGTCAACATCCGTTCATTTGTCGATAAACGGTGACCTGGTAACAGGATACCGGTCTCTGAGGAGCTATTTCAATAGGTATTACAAGTTTGTTCAGAGGAAGGTTTTAGGGACCATCACAGAGACAAAAGTGGAGAGATTTAGGGAGAATATAGTCAGAGTTAATTCCCTGGCAGCTGATGATATTACCAATGATGAAATGAAGAATCATAGAATTCCTACAGTGTGGAAGCAGGCCAATTAGGCTCATCAATTCCACACCACCACTCCAAAGAGCATCCCACCCAGACCCACGCCCCAACCCTATCCCTGATTTTCTGAAGAAGGGTCTAGGCACAAAACGTCAGCTTTCCTGCTCCTACTCCTCTGATGCTGCTTGGCCTGCTGTGTTCATCCGGCTCTACTTCTTGTTATCCCCTATCCCTGTAACCCTGCCTTTCCCATGGCCAATCTACCTAGCCTGCATCTCCCTGGAAAACTGGATCCACAAGGCTCAAACTGAACAAATGCAACAATCACTAAGCCAGAGCAAGTCAATATCACGGAGATGTGGAATGAAAAGGCCACAGTAAGAGACCAGACAAAGGGATAAGTAGCTTATGAGGTTTTGATATTTCCTTTATCTAAAGTTTGAGAAGATTGAAGCTCGGGTTGTGGATGAGGTTGCAGACATGCTCACCTAGCCAGTGGGTTTGGTTGCAACCCTGCTAGGTAACATCGTCAGTGCGCCTCCGGTGAAGCATCGGTGTTCTGTCCCTCTTGGTATTTATATACCTCAGTTGGCTGGGGTGGTTGGTATTACTTCCGGTTTTGTTTCATAGTGGTTTGTACACAGGGTCTAATTCAACGTGTTTGTTGGTAGAGGTCCAGTTCGAATACAGGGCCTCCAGGAATTCCCTGGCGGATCTCTGCTTGGCTTGTGCGATTATCGATGTGTTGTCCCAGTCAAATTTGTGCCCCGCGTTGCCGTGTGTACACTGGAATTGGAATTCCTGGAGGTCTGGTATTCCAACCCGAACTCCATCAAAAATACACTGATTTGTACAGAGGGTCTAATTCACTGAGAAATAAAACAGAAGTAATACCAACCACCCCAGCAAACCAAGGCATATAAATAACAAGCTGGACAGAACACCGACGCTTCACTGGAGGCGCACTAACGATGTTACCTAGCAGAGTGGCAAAACGTTTGCAACCAAACCCACCGGCTCAGCGACCATGTCTACAACCTCATTCTCTTTATCAGCAGTCTATAATATTCACAACTAAAAGCCACAGGAAAAATGGTTCTGCTCAAGGGAGTTAAATTTTCAGTCGCATTGTGAAAACAAATGGGAACCACAAATGTACAAAGGCAGGTTAGAAGTATAGGATCTGCACTATCAACAAGGTAGAATCAGCATTGGATGAAATATTGACAATAGAACATAGAACATAGAACGTAGAGCAGTACAGGCCCACAATGTTGTGCCGACCTATCATCCTACTCTATGATCAAACTACCCTGCATACCCTACATTTTACTATCATCCATGTGCCTATCCAAGAGTCACTTAAAGAGTCTCCACTACCACTGCCAGCAGCGCATTGCATGCACCCACCACTCTCTGTGTAAAGAACCTACCTCTGACATCTCCCCTGTACCTTCCTCCAATCACCTTAAAATTATGCCACCTCGTACTAGTAATTTCCGCCCTGAGAAAAAGTCTCTGGCTATCCACTCTATCTATGCCTCTCATCATCTTGTACACCTCTATCGAGTCACCTCTCATTCTTCTTCATTACAATGAGAAAAGCCCTAGCTCCCTCAACCTTTCCTCATAAGATCTGCCCTCCAGTCCAGGCAGCATCCTGGTAAATCTCCTCTGCACCGTCTCTAAAGCTTCCACATCCTTCCCATAATGTGGCAACCAGAACCGAACACAATATTCCAAGTGTGGTCTAACCAGGGTTTTACAGAGCTGCAGCATAACCTCGCGGCTCTTAAACTCAATTCCCCTGCCAATGAAAACCAACACACCATACGCCTTCTTAACAACACTATCAACTTGGACAGCAACTTTGAACGATCTATGGACGTGGACACCAAGATCCCTCTGCTCCTCCACACTGCCAAGAATCCTACCATTAACCCTGCATTCTGCATTAAAATTCGACTTTCCAAAATGGATCACTTCACACTTTTCCAGGTTGAATTCCATCTACCATTTCCTTGCCCAGCTCTGCATCCTGTCAATGTCCCGTTGCAACCTACAACAGCCCTCCACACTATCCACAACTCCACCAACCTTCGTGTCATCAGCAAACTTACGAACCCACCCTTCCACTTCCTCACCAAAGTCATTTATAAAGATCACAAAGGTCCCAGAACAGACCCCTGCAGAACACCACTGGTCACCGAGCTCCAGGCTGAATACTTTCCATTTACTACCACCTTCTGTCTTTGATTGGACAGCCAATTCTGTATCCAGACAGCCAAATTTCCCTGAATCCCATGCCTCCTTACTTTATGAATGAGCCTACCATGTGGAACCTTATCAAATGCCTTGCTAAAATCCATAGACACCACATC